TAGGTATGCAATGCCTACAGCAACAAACAGTCAGCAGATCATCTCATGCATTGCAGTGATAGGAATAGTCACAGATCTTTACTCGATGCTCTTTGCAGCTGTGACTCGACGGTACCAAGCCTTGGTGCCGCAGGATGCAACCAATCGTGCCAATGGTGTGCGGACGAAGCTAGGCAAGCCGGGCAGTTGGGAGGTATTTCGTGAGCCAAACGCCTGTAATGGCCTAAAGCCCATACCTTGCCATTCTGAAAGAGGTCCCATCCTGGAGAGTGAGCGCAACTGGCTCCAGAAAAACCGCGACAAGCTGGACAAGGTGCCTGGCCACCGGGACATCAATATAAAGGGCCACTTGGTGAGAGGCGACTAGTAGCTTCGTTCAGAAAGCAGACCCAATATGTGAGAGAGTTGGAAAACCTCTCCTAGAACTCCCTTAGTTCCACTTCTCGTGGCCTCGTACATTTTTGCATGACTTCTGGCGGAAACTTCCGTCATGTCCTGTCGGCGGAGAAACGAGGGGGACACTCGGTACTGGAGTCGCCCCTTGTCTTTAGAACAGGCCTTGGAGGAGGCGTCCAAACTCGCTGCAGATGTCGGCGAGGCACCTCCGGTGAAGCAGGACCTGGACGATAGTATAATATAATATCATATCATATCATAGCCTTCACAGTCCTTCAGCTTTGGGTCGGAAACTTTGAGTGTAGGCTTAGAGTCAAGATGGTGATGCGGTTGAGTCGGAGGAGAATACCCCACTTTCTGAGCAGCGTGCTGGCGTGAAAGCCACCATCGAGCGCCGCTGAGCAGATTTGGACAGGAAGCTTGTTTACGGACCCCGTTGAACCATTCAAGCATCAGAAGCACAGCAACAAGCAAGAAACTGTCGTTCCATAGCCTTTTTTGGCTTGTAGCTATTGAACCTGGAGGATTTCCTGTCCAGCACACAACCCGAATGTCTCATTCGGGGCACGCTCATGGGCACTCCCATGACCAGTGTCATGACCATGCCACCGATGCCCATTCTGGGCACGCACATGGCCACACCCATGACCGATGTGACCATGGCACCGCTGCCCACCCAGGGCTCGCACATGGTCACTCCCATGACCAGTGTGACCATGCCACCGATGCCCATTCGGGGCATGCACACGGTCACACCCATGACTCTGGCCTTTGTGACCATGGCAGCGATGCCCACCCAGGGCTCGCACAAGGTCACTCCCATGACCATTGTGACCATGCCAACGCCGCACATTCGGGGCACGCACATGGTCACACCCATGACCACTGTCATGACCATACCACCGATGCCGAGCCCAAGGACCGGAGCAACGACACTCGTCTGCCAGTAACGGTTCTCTCTGGCTTTCTGGGCGCAGGCAAGACAACGCTTCTGAAGCACATCCTCGAGAACAAGCAGGGTTTGAAGGTTGCTGTAATTGTCAATGACATGGCCTCGCTGAATTGGGACTCCAAGCTGGTGGAGCAAGCCATCTCTGACAAGAAGAAAAATCCGCGGAAGCGCAAGAAGAGCGGAGACCCCCAAGATTCCGGAGACGAGGAGGCTGAGGAGTCTGAGGCCAGCGTGCCAAAGCTCGTTTCGCTGCAGAATGGATGCATTTGTTGCACGTTGCGCGAGGACTTGGTCGAGCAAGTATCTGAGATTGCTACCGCTGAGCAGAAATTCGACTATCTGCTGATCGAGAGCACTGGCATATCAGAGCCTGTCCCAGTCGCGCAAACCTTCTGCCACTCCCTGGAAGAGCTGGAGCATTTGGCTCAGCGCGAGGAAGAACACTCGCACGTGGCTAAGGAAGAGCAAGAGCCCAAGAACGAGACAGAGTACAAGTACCAGAGGGCTCTGGCAGACAAGGAACAGAAGGACAAACAGCTGGCTGTGCGAGCCATCGAGCTGCAGCGCATGTGCCGCCTCGACACAATGGTGACGGTTGCAGATGCTCCGTTGATTGTCGAGGCGCTTTGCGGTACTAACGAGGTGCAGGGCGGTACTACTCTGGCCACTTCGGGGCTTACCAAGGCAGAAGTTCAAAGAGACCAAGCAAGTACGAATGGCAGCAGCGTGAATGCAGACAAGACCGTCGTAGATCTCATGCTGGACCAGCTCGAATTCGCCAACACGATCATCTTGAACAAGGAGGACATGTTGCTGAAAATGCCCGGGGGAGCGAGTCTGAAGCCGCAGGTCGAGGCACTTGTGAAGAGGCTAAATCCCTTGGCACTTCTCGTGTGGACGACCTTCGCTCAAGTTGAGAAAGGTGGCAGGGACACGGTGCTGGGGACTGGGAGGTTTGATTTCGAGAAAGCCAGGGCCAGCGCAGGTTGGATGCAGGAGTTGATGAACGTCAACCACATTCCCGAGACTGAAGAATATGGAATCTCTTCCGTTGTCTTCCGCGCGAAACGGCCGTTCCACCCCGCAAGGCTGTACAGCGCGAGGGATGGATTCGGCTTGGTAGACCTGGCGACAGGAAAGCCCACCGAAAAAGCTAAGCAGAAGCCATTCCGCGGCGTGATCCGAAGTAAGGGCCAAATTTGGATGGCAAACTGTTGTGCGTATGCACTCGATTGGACCATAGTTGGCCGCACATTTTCGCTGCAGCCGGCACGGCCCTTCGAAGCAGCCATTCAAGAGGCTGCAGACACCTATGAAGATGACCCGCAGGGAGAAGGTCAGGACGACATTCTTCCGGATGGGTGGGACCCACTTTGGGGTGATCGCGAAACAGAACTGGTGGTCATTGGCGTGAACATTGACAAGGCAGCAATTCTTGATGCCCTCGAAGGTGCATTGGTCACCGAAGAAGAGTTCACGAAGGCGACCGCGGATAAAGCAAGATTCGAGGAGTGGATCGAGACCTCGCGTGCTTACTGCAAGGATCTTAGCATACCGTTCGGCCAGGTGTTGCTAGGCATGGATGAGAAGGCGCTTCGTGCTGCTACTGGGGATTTGACCTCTAGGTTTGAGAGGTTCAGGCAGCTGGAAGACCCATTCTTCAATGGCACTGCAAACAGTTCCTTCATGGAGATGGCAGTCCGAGGGGTGAGTAGCGATTTTGTGAGACAGAACCAGCCAGATCCAATGGTAACTTGATGGGTCTCTAGTAGCACCAAGGCTCGGTTGAGTGTAGTGCAGCAATTGGAGTTTGTAATAGCTTGATCAAGTTATCGTAGGACTTGGCTGCAAAGAGTGTATATACCGAACGACAACCGTTCTTCGAGCATGAATTGAGCAGCTGCCAAGAAGAATGCGGAAAAAGAAGACGTCCGTACGAACACGCCCGCCACCCTTGGAACAGCTCTTGCCAAGATGAGATGGGAGCCAAGGCTTGGAAAAAGCAAAGAAGCGGCAGGGGACAGAGATTCAAGTTGCTCGGACATCACTTGAGTCGTGATCTGCTGCTCCGGCTGGCCCCAAAAGGGATCCACTTTTGCTCGGCGAGTGTCTAGATTCTAGATTTTTATGTATGGGGAGTGCATTGTTGTCTTCCAGATTTGCGATTTCATGTTCGTCTTCCCAACTCGGTATGGCGCTCGGCCCTGGGCCGAACAACGGCTTCCGTGACAGGAGCTTCGCGTCAAAGTGGCCAAAGAGTGCAAGCGATTGAACCTGGAGGAATCAGACTATGCCGGCCGGACTGCAAGTCATGGGGCGTTCGGCTCTTTTCAGACGGACTTGGAGTATTGCAATTCCGGCTACTAGTATTTCCGGCTTTTGCAGCTCATTGGCAAGCGTGTGGTTGTTTACCACCCGACTTTCGTCCGACGGTAGCGTCCCAGCTCAGTATACACCCTGTTCAGAGATTCATGGCGAATATGAAAAGGCCTCGAAAGGGCACCAGGCTTTCAGGCGACATTGTACATAGGGCGCAGCATGCGAGAGTCTCTGCACAATGTGCTTCGCATAGATGGGCACTCTTGCATGTCGTCGTGTTGAAGTGGTTGGCTGTTTGCACGCTTCACCGTTCCTTCACCTTCCTTCGGTTCGTTGGGGAAGCAGGATGCTGGTCCTGAGTGGAGGCGGAGGGCCCTTTAGGAACCCCCCGTTATCATTGAGGAAGCCGACACTAAGCCGGCCCTTGAATTCACAGGGCTTCTGTTTTGTTTCGCCTTCGGCCGTGCGAGATCCCAGGCAGTGGATCCTTCTCTGACCGGGGGGCCAGCAGTCAAGGCACGAAGGATGCATGGTTGGATTTCATCTTGTTGCTGCAGTTCTGCAGAGTGAGGGCGGGATGAGATAACTCGATTCGCTCGACAGCCCTTGCATGTAGTCGACGGTGTGGACCTTATGTCATGTCAACCAATCCAAGACATCCAACCTTACAGCGTATTGTGCCTCTATCACCCAGAGAGGATTGCCGATATTGTCAATGGCCAGACTGACTTTGCAGGAAGTAGTTGGAACGTGGCCCTTCTTGTGACGTCTGGGGTAGCAAGCCTTTGGACTGACTGGCAAAGCCTCGGCCAAGCTATTTCAATCTTGCCTCGTACTACTGAGACCACCGAAGAAGGAAGCCAAGAATAGCTCGAGGTAGTAAGCTGCTGTTGCTTCTTCGCCCGTCTTGGGCGGCGGCTTCTGCTTCTGTGTACGCTCTTCTGTCGTGAAGCCAGGCCTTGAAGATGCAGCTTCAGCGGCTGGACGAAGTGCCTCGAGAACAGATAGGAGGGATGGTCCGTAGGATTTGGGGCTTGAAGATTCGAGTTGTAGAACAATGCGGCAGAGTGCCAAAGGGAACAAGCTCTGTGAACAATAGCTTCCACCATTTCTCCTATCCGGTGCTCTTTGAAAAGCGTGCTGCATGTCAGTCAGACTCTCTGTTCCGGGCCCCGCGACGTCCACGAGTGTGGTTTGTTCCAGGTGATGCGCGAGCGTGTTGATGCCGTGCTTGCTGCCCGAGGCAACATGTTTAAATTTGGGATGTGAGGGCTTGGATCACGGTGCATCATGAGCAGAAGCCACGAAGACTTTCGCACACTTGAGCAAAATGGCTGATCATGAGCTGTAGACTTTTCCCGCCAACGCACTGCCAGGGCGCATCCGAGACCTCTCCAACTCGCTCGGCGAGGCCGGTCCAGGACTGCAGGCTAGCTAGCTGGTACAAGTATGACAAGCTAATACGAAGAAGCAACACTGCCGACATGCGTCTTGTGTGACCTGTATTGTCCTTTCTCGCTACATATGAAGATTTGCATGTTCGTCCATACGTAGAGACAGAAACAAACAGACCTACTACGCCATACTATGCACACAAACACCCGCCCACCCTGTCACACAAATGTATGTATGGATGGATGTATGGATGTATGCTTGCATGTATGCATGCATGTATGTAATGCAATGTAATCTTGTGTAAGTACGTAAGTACGTAAGTACGTAAGTACGTAAGTACGTAAGTACGTAAGTATGTAAGTATGTAAGTATGTAAGTATGTAGGTATGTATGTGTGTATGTGTGTATGTACGTATGTATGTATGTATGTATGTATGTGTGTATGTATGTATGTATGTATGTATGTATGTATGTATGCACATGCATGTGTATGTGTATGTGTACGTGTATGTTGTTGTGCACACACACACATATATATATATATACATACATTTACATACATGTACAAAGCTAGCGATAGTGTTAGCTGTTAGTTCAAGACCAGGCCGCACACGAAACTGCGTGCGAAGATCTGGCTCATTCTGTGAAGTCCGGAGTTTTTCTGCAATGACAACGATTTCTACTCTGCTGCTTGTCGAGCTATCCAGTTTTCAAATTATTACTGCAGAACTGGCTCGGCGATGAGATCGACCTTGAATTGTAGATCAATCCGTTGCAGCGTCAGTCGTCGGAAATCGGGCGAGTTTGGGGGGGGGAGGGGGGAGGGCGGGGGACCGGACACGAGTACATCAAAGGCGTACCTGCTTTCCTTGCTCAAACTTCTGCACTTCATTTGGCCGACGACCGCTTTATCTCCGAATCTCGAAAGCCTGCGCCGAAGGTGCTTGTCAGCATCGGTACCCGACAAAGCCAACAGATCCACAGGCTCTCGAGTTCCGCCTGGCCTTCGACGGGGAGCTGCCGGGCAGCGAAGGGGGTGTTGTTGTTCTGCCAAAGACGCTTGGCGCAAGCAGTCATATCTGATAAAAAAGACTTGGTGGGAGCTCCATCTCGGCATAGAGCAGCTTCGAAAGCTGGCTGCAGAAGAGATTGTTGGACTTGATCATTCCTCGTACTGTACTCCACAAACGGTATCAAGCAGTACGGTAAAGAGAGTGGAAGAGGTGTCTTGGTAGGTGCAGTCATTCTGTTCCTTCGCCGTGCGTGCTACAGAACGGTCCACGAAGTGCAAGCCCAGGCGGCTGTTATTACATGGCTAGCGTGTCAAGTGCAGAAAGATGGCTCGCGCATGGCCGAGGACGGCAGAGAACGAAAAGTTCGTGAACGACATGGCCGAATTCAAGGAGTCCTCTACAAAGGACGTGGCCATGTTTACGCGGTGCTCGAGCCACTTGAAAGAGCTCGAACAAGCGTACTTAGACGAGCTCGGCCGCCGCAAGCCCCAAAAGAAGGTGAGGTCCATTAGCTCTGACTCTGCCTCACGCTCCAAGTCGCGTCCAAAGAAGAAGAAGAAAAAGGAGAAAGAGGCGAAGGAGGATCGAAAGAAGGCTAAGAAAGCAAAGGAGAGCCGTGCACAGAGCCCCAAGCCTGAGCACCGACCCGAACATGAGGCTGGCAACGGGGAGGCAGCGCCGGTTTCCCCCGGACAGGCATGGAAGCCTGAATCGAAGGAGGAGAGAACAAACGATCACCAGCCTTGGAACGAGGCTCCCGCTCCGTGGACTCCAAGCGGAATGCCGCCGCCTGGACCTCCTCCAGCATATCCCCCAGCCCAAGCCACTCCCTGGCAGCCACCCCAACAAGCAGCTCCGGGTCATCCGGGTCCTCCTCCAGCATATCCCTACAGCCACCCACCTCCTCGCCCCCAACCCCACGCTCACACTCCTCACGCACCACCCCACGCTCACACTGCCCCACCCCATCATCCTCCACCACCCGGCTATCCGTCTTATCCACCGCCGCCTGGGTACTTCCCACCCAGGCATGAGGCATGGCCTCCACCACACCTGGCGTACCCAAAGCCAGCTCCTGTGCCACCTCCTCACTATGGTGCTCCACCGGGCATGCCACCGCAGCCCATGGCGCCCAGCAATGATTCTGATTACCGCCACTGGGCGAAGTCCGCAGCACCCGTGCCAGAGGCTCCGGCACCGTACCCTCCTCCCAACTTCACTGCCCCCGCACCAGGTCCAGCGCATGGCGCCCCACCTGCATATGGCTATGCCCCCCCCGGAGCCGGAGGTCCTCCAACAAACTGGTGTGGCGGCCCAGCTTCAGAGAGTTTTGCATCAGATCCGGCAGAAAGCGGGCTTTTTGCATGCAAAGTGAGAGCATGAGAGACTGCTTGCTTAATGCTTACATGGTCTTTCTTGTTCGGGCTCTGCTTGGACCAGCTCCGTCGAGGCTGTAGACCGCTGCAGAAGCAAGATACCACCAGCTAGCCGAACAGTTCTACTTGCTGTATGATAGCAATGCAAGTGCAGACTGGATGGAAGCATGCAGATTCTCTCGTTCTTTCTCTCTCTCTCTCTCTCTATCTATCTATCTATCTATCTATCTGTCTATATATTCGATACAAGATAGCAGTTTCATCCGGCCGTGCTCAGTCAAGACATGGTCGTGGTAGCTCATCGCGCGCATGGCACAAAGAGCTGCTCCGGCTGCTGAGCTGTCTGGTCGCGTGGTGGGACTGCCAAGCTTAGTTGGTCAAGCCATTGCTGTACAGGGCCCGGACGCGTCGCAGAAGCGTGCATCCGTGAAAGCAGGGGCGGCAGTCAGCTTAACACCTTCCCTGGCCAAAATCGCCAACAAAGATGTCGTAGTGGAGCTCCGAGGCCTACCCCAGGCGCCGCCTTTCAAGGTGGGTGGTCGTTCAGGGAATGCTGTGACCAGCAGCCACTCCAACAAGATCCATCGAGGGTGGCGCATTGTGGCAGTATGTGGCCAGCGTGTGCCCGCAGAGGAGGTCCCGGCCGCAATCTCCGCTGCTCAGAAGTCCGCGAAGTACACCGTGACCTTCCGTCTCAGCACCGAGGAGGAGTTCTCCAAGGAGAAGGACCAAAAGGAGCATCAGGACGAGCAGAAGCGAGACCTTGACATCGAGCGGGAGCAAGCCCGACTTCGCGAAGAAGAGTCAAGGAAAGAGCGTGAGAGGATGGAGGAGGAGGAACGACTGGAGCGCGAGTTGCAACAGAAGAGGCTGGCAGAAGCGGAGGCAAAGGCTCTCCAGATAGCGCGACAAGCTGCCGAAAAGAGCTTAGAGAAATCGACAGGCCTCCCTGCACGCGACAAGGTCCAAGAGCCCCAAAAGGCTTTGCTAGCAGCACTGGCGCCGGCAGCACCTGCAGAAGCCAAACCAGTTGCAAAGCCCAACGGCCCCTGCGATAAGTGCGATGGGCCACATGCCACGGATGATTGCCCACACTTCAAGAAGCCCCGGGACGACCACAAGGATGCTTTCGAGAACTACCAAAAGGGAAGCGTGGAGAAGACCGAGGCCGAGTCGGTATCGGAAAAGCTGCCGAAGTCTACCCGGGTTTTGCCACAGCCCGGAGATGGGTCCTGCCTCTTCCACTCTTTGAGCCATGGCCTGAAAAAGGGCCAGGGCGCTTCCGCACTCCGGGCCGAGATTGCGGACTACATTGCGAGCCACCCAGAGGAGGAAGTTGCTGGGAACCCAATCTCCGACTGGGTCCTTTGGGATTCAGGAGAAGATCCAAACGCCTATGCCCTCTCGATGAGGGAGGGTTCCCGCTGGGGTGGTGCCATGGAAATCGCTTTGTGCGCCAAGCTGCATCGCATTCGGGTGGACATCTTCGAACGAAGATCGGACCATTTCCTGCGAATAGCATCTTTCGGGGAAGCGGACAAGTTCGAGCCAGTGAGACTCCTATATGGAGGCCGAGTTCACTACGACGCTCTCGAAGTGTGATGCTTGAAAAAGCCCGGTTCTTCGGCATGTAGGCTTCCACACACGTCCGTTGGTCGGTGCACTTTGCACTCGCATGCTGCCTGGCTTTCTGAGGCTGGGGCCGGCCACTGAGTATCCCGGCCGCTGAAGGTGCCTTCTGGCGCCAGCAAGAGACCTAGGTCATACTAGGTCCTACTTGTAGGTGACGGGGCTGGGTAGCTCTGTTCAGCTTCGCAGCAGTACTTTGAACTGAGAACCCGGGTCAGCCTGCGTGCAGGTGGACATGCACCTGGTGCGATGGAACGGAGCAGAACAAAGTTTGTGCAGCCAGTCCGGTTGCAGCCCCTGTAGGTCGTAGGGAAAGGCCAAAACTAGGGCTTCGGTCCCCTTCGGTTCTTTGGCAGCCCGGGGGCCCCTCACACGTCGGGGCTCGATATGTTCCTGCCCGGGCCGCTTCCGACGTGTTCCGAGATTTCCAGGTAGTGGGAGGAATCACGACCTCAGCTTTGCAAGCGCTGTTGAGACGAGTTCCAAGCACAGCATGTCCATGTGGCTTATTGAAGGCATGCCCTCCCACAACCTGAGTCATGAGAGTGGGCAAGCTGACTTCACTACAAAGCCTGTTTCCTGCGGGCCTAAAAGAACAAGGGGTGCGGCTGCCATGATGCTGTGCTGCATGTGCAATTGGTCAGTCATGCCCCTTCAAAGGAGCGATTCAAAGGCACGAGCAGGGCTACCAAGCAATCAGCAGCGAGTGCTCGAATATGGTTTACTTATTTAAAATTTAAGCAGTTAAAGCCGCCCACGCACTAGGTTTTGTGTGTTGGTGTTTGCGATGTTTGCGCCTCTGTGTGTGGACGCGTGGGTGTAGGTGCATAAGTGGGTCTCGTTTTTCTTGAAGGCTGGTTGCTTGCTTGTTGTCGTGGAGGAACCTTTCGGGGCACTTATTGATGAGGCATACACGTGGCGGGTTTTTCTGGTACACTGGTACACTATCATCTTATACTTACTGCCATCTGTAAGTAAGGTGTCACTGCCTCGTCCAATCTCGCAGGCCGACCATCGCAAACCGCTATTTCGCAATGCGAATTCCAACCAGCGACCAAGCTGCACGGCGGTTAGCTGGGTTTGCGTGCTTCTTCCTGCTGCACATTTCGGGTGCAGCCGTGCCACCGGTGCTTCACATGAGGCCACCGTTCTCCCCTTTGGCTCAAGCCATTTTGGCTCAAGCAGTTTTGGGCATTCCCAGACGGAGACGCTTACGCTCTTAC